CGGTTAGGGACCGAATGTGCAGTAGGATGCATAGCTGGATATGCTAGGTTGAGGTATACCCTGTTAGGCTTAGGTACTCGTGCCCACTCAGGTGCGTTTTGCATGTTGCCTTTTATTCAGGTTGAGACACCCTTCATAGTCCAGTGAGAGTCCAGTATTGTGGATATATGCATATGTATACGGATTATATAACTATTGTTGAGTTGGTTAGAATGTATATACGTATCGAGTCTCTGCTTGGATTGTGGTAGAATAGAAATTGTTCGTGGGCCTGACCACTTCTATTTTTCAGGTACTCGTCAGTTCCAGACTAAGACCTGATCATGCTAAGCAGAGATTACTATTCACTCTTCCGACGAAGTAGGACTTCTCTCCATGGATTTTATTTGGATGTCTTTTAGTTTTTATTTCAGTTTGGATTTTAGTATTAGGGGTCAAATGGATGGATTCCCGAGTTGTTTAGCTATTGGAAGTTTTGGATTTAAGTATTTATTTTTAAAGGATTCTATTTTAGACTTCTTCCAGCTTTTAATTATTTATTTTATATTCATTTTGTAATTTGTATTCGTTTGTTAAATATTAATTATTTGATATTCCCTCGGGTTTGGGCCTGGGCCTAATCAACCCGTGTCTCGGATCCGAGGGGTATCACATAGCCTTAGAGCTTGATTATGCTGGTCGAGGATAGCCCCTTATTCATCTGTTTACGTAGGACTTTTCTCGATGTTCTAGTTTAGTTTTATTTTCTATTTTTCAGTTCAGTTGGGATTTTATTTAGGGGTCCACTAGATGGATTTCCAAGTTGTACTCTTGGAAGTTTTGGAGAATTAGATTAACATTATTTATTATCGTTTAGAGGATTTTTTATTTGATATTTCTTTCAGCTTTATTCTTTTTCCTATTTCATTTTTATATTCTGTGTTCATTTTCAAATATTTTAATTATTTGATATTTCCCTCGGGTTTGGGCCTGGCCTGATCAACCCGTGTCTCAGATCCGAGGGGTATCACAAGAGGCAGAGTCCTTTATTAATATCAGCTCCAAGAAAGAACCCTCGTCCAAGCCAAAGGATAAAGACAAGGACAAGGACAAGGGGTGGTATTCTGGCAAAGGTGGGGGAGACAAGGGCGCTACACCATACAAGGATTGGTCCCATAAGCCAGGTGGTGGCCATGGTGGCAAAGCGGGAAGGGAGAACAAGGAGGGAACACCCAATCCCAAGGGCTCATACTTCATATGTGACGGACCACATTGGGTGAGAGATTGCCCAAAGAGGTAAACCCTCAATGCCATGACGAGCCGCTACGGAGAGCAACAACAGAAGGAGGCGCAGATGGGTTCGCTACAAATCCTTAATGCTATCAAAGCTAAAACTAAAGTCCCTAAGGTGGCGGCTAAGGGGCTAATGTTTATGGAGGCAAGCATCAATGTGACACCCACACGTGCTTTGGTGGATACGGGTGCATCCCATAACTTTATGAGCACTGATAAGGCCAAGAGGTTGGCCTCCAGAATAGCAAAGAAAGGGGTTCCATGAAGGCAGTTAACTCGGTGGCAAAGGCTATACATGGCATGACACACAGAGTCAAAGCATGCATTGGCGAGTGGGGTGGCTATATGGACCTATCGGTGGTACCCATGGACGACTTCAAGCTAGTTTTTGGGTTAGAATTCTTAGACAAAGTGAGAGCCTTCCCCATTCCTTTCGCTAATACTATGTGTATTATGGAAGGCAACACAGCATGTATGGTGCAGGTGGAGCGAGGCACCAAGTTGGAAGCCTAAGCCTTGTCAGCTATGTAGTTCAAGAAAGGCTTCAAGAAAGGAGAGACTAGCTACCTTGCTACCTTGCTGGAGACGCCAGATGATGAGCTAGTCTTTCCTCCACAAGAAGAGGTGCCTAAGGAGATATAGGCCATGCTAGATAAGTATACGGACGTGATACCTAAGGAACTGCCCAAGAAACTTCCACCTAGGAGGGAGGTGGATCATAAGATTGAGCTGGAACTAGGGTCCAAACCCTCTACTTTGGTGCCTTACTAGATGGCACCCCTAGAGTTGGAAGAGTTGCGGAGGCAACTCAAGGAGCTATTAGATATTACGGGCTATATTCGACCCTCGAAGGCCCCATATGGCACACCGGTGTTGTTCTAGAGGAAGAAGGACAGGTCCTTGCGTATGTACATCGACTACCGAGCACTAAACAAGGTGACTGTTAAGAACAAGTACCCCATTCCTCTCATTGCCGATCTTTTTGATCAGCTTGGTGGAACACGTTACTTCACTAAGCTAGACTTACGCTTGGGGTACTATTAGGTGCGGATAGCAAACGGGGATGAGCCTAAGACTACATGTGTGACGAGGTATGGCTCTTATGAGTTCCTAGTTATACCATTTGGTTTCACCAATGCACCTGCTACTTTCTGTACTTTGATGAACAAGCTCTTTTATCCTTACTTGGATCGCTTTGTGGTGGTGTACCTGGATGACATCGTTATGTATAGCACCACTTTAAAGGAGCACGTGTAGCACTTGAGGGCGGTCTTCCAACTCTTATGAGAGAACGACCTATATGTGAAGACGGAAAAATGCTCCTTTGCCCAATAGGAGGTGTTGTTCCTAGGGCATAAGATATGGGATGGCAAGTTGATGATGGATGAGGCAAGGTGAGGGCCATTCAAGAGTGGGAGCCGCCCACTAAGGTGACAGAGATACACTCATTTCTTGGGCTTGTCAATTACTACCGCCGCTTCATCAAGGGTTACTCTGCAAGAGCAGCCCCATTGACAGACCTTCTCAAGAAGGCACGCACTCAGAGTTGGACAGAGTCATGCTGGGGGGCATTTGATTACTTGAAGAGGACAATCACGGAGGAACCAGTACTTAGCTTGCCCAACCACTCCAAGTCATATGAGGTGCACATAGATGTATCAGACTTTGCTACTGGGGGCGTGTTGATGCAAGAAGAATACCCTATAGCCTATGAGAGCCGCAAGCTCAATGACACCGAGCGGCACTATACGGTACAGGAAAAAGAGATTACGATGGTCATCCATTGCCTACGTACTTGGAGGCACTACTTGCTTGGGGCATAGTTTGTGATCAAGACAGATAATGTTGCCATCAGCTACTTCCAGACACAGAAAAAGCTTAGCCCCAAACAAGCACGATGGTAGGACTTCCTAGTGGAGTTCACTTATAATTTTGAGTACAAGCTGGGCAAGGCCAATGTTGTGGCAGATGCACTTAGTCGCAAGACCGAGCTCGCAGCTATTAGTCGGCCCCAACACCCTATTATCGAGCAGATCAAGGAGGGGTTGCAACATGACCCTTTAGCTAAGAGCTTTATTCAGTTGGCTAAGGAAGGGAAGAATTAACGCTTTTGGCTAAGGGATAACTTACTTCTCACCACAGGGGACTGACTCTTTGTGCCCAAGTGGGGCAATTTGCGAAAGGAGCTGATATGGGAGTGCCACGCCACCAAATAGTCTGGTTACCCAGGTATGCAGCGCACACTAACACTCCTTGAAGATTCATATTATTGGCCTCAGATGCGTGATGATATGGAGACAAATGTGAGGACTTGGCTTGTGTGCCAACAAGACAAGATTAAGCAACTGCATCCCGCAGGCCTATTGGAGCCATTGCCTATTCCGGAGAGACCATGGGAGAGCGTATCTATAGATTTCATTACTTGCTTGCCCAAGTTAGAAGGTTGTGGGAGCATTATAGTAGTGGTAGATCGATTTAGCAAGTATGCCACCTTCATACCCATACCGACAGATTGCACAACAGAGAGGGCAGTAGAGTTGTTTGTTGGCCATGTGGTCAAACTTTGGGGGCTTCCACAGAATATTATCAGTGACAGAGATCCGCGCTTCACAGGTAAGTTTTGGATGGGGCTCTTCAAAAAGATGGGGACGGATCTCAGCTTCTCTACGAGCTTCCACCCCCAATCAGATGGGCAGACGTAGCGCATCAATGCTCTCCTAGAGCTTTATTTGAGGCACTATGTTAGTGCCAACCAGCGAGATTGGGCAAACTCCTTGGGGTGGCACAGTTTTCTTACAACTTGCAGCGGAGTGAGGCTACCAATCACAGTCTCTTTGAGGTTGTTACCGGACGGCAACCTATGACACCCAACGCCATTACTAGGACTTGTGATGGTAAGAGTTCGGCGGCCTACAAATTTGCCAAGAGGTGGCACGAGCAGTCTGACTTAGCTAGGGCGTACCTTGATAAGGCGGGAAAGAAGATGAAAAAGTGGGTCGACACCAAGCGAAGACGGGTGAAGTACACAATGGGAGACCAAGTGATGGTTAAGTTACTACCCCAATAATTTAAGTCCTTCCGGAGTGCACATAAGGGGTTAGTAAAGAATAGGGATGTCAATTTTTACCGCCCCGCCGGGGCCCCGCCCCGTCCCGCCCCGTTAATAACGGATATGGGAACACTTGTTATACCGTTGGGGCGGACATGGATACAAATTTTGTACCCGTCGAGGGTCACGGGGCGGGTAAGGGTTCAATATACATATCCTAAGGGCCCCGCCCCACCCCGCATATAACTATATTTAATATATATATATATATATATATATATATATATATTAATAAGTTATTTTAGCGGCTTACCCAATTACCCATCTCTTATAATCCTAATTTGGGATGTAAACTTGGTATTAAATTTGCTTTTGTTTTGGTTATGGTAGAAGTTGGAGCTTAGAACTTCTTGTGATTTGGTTGTATTAAACTTTTATTTTTGTTTATTATGTTCTCTGATTTATGTTATGTGCATGTTATTTTTTATTTTATTTTATTAGGATACATAATTTTATTTATGTTGTGTCATTCCTAGGCTTTGCACATTTAAATAGGAGTTTAAGTTCCAAAAAGTGGGAGAAAAAAATTTGTTAGTGGGGCGGGCACGGGGGCACAGTATTTCCTAACGGGGCGGGGTTGGATATGAAAATCCAACCCGTCGCGGGTCTCGGGGCGGGCATGGACTTGACAAAAATTAAAAGGGGCGGGGTGGGATTTAGAGAAACCCGCTCCAAACCCGCCCCGTTGCCATTCCTAGTAAGGAAGTATGAAGGCCCATTCCCCATTGTCAAGCGGGTGGGCAAGGTCTCCTACATGGTGGAGTTTCCACCCAAGTTGAAGATACATCCAGTCTTCTATGTCAGCATGTTGAAGCCTTATCACGAAGACATAGAAGTCCTTACTCGGGGCATATCGCAAATGGCATCCACAGCCGTTGTCACATCTTTCGACAAAGAAGTTGATTGCATCCTTGCGAATCGTGTGATGAGCAGGAGAGGTGTACCTAAGTATACAGAATACTTAGTAAAATGGAAGAACATGCCAGATAGCGAGGCGAGCTGGGAGCATGAGGATAAACTTTGGCAGTTCGCGGAGCATATCCAGCGGTTCAAGCAAGAAGACGCGACGAGGGCATTACGAGCTTAAGTGGGGGAGAATGTCACACCCTGCAACAGACGCCCAGCAGACGATGATATGGAGCCACACAGACGCCCAGCAGAAGATGATATGGAGCCTGCATGGATTGAGAGCTTTCTAGACTTTTCCACACAAATATGGAACTTTTCAGAATTCTTTAGATTAGTGTGGACTTGTCTAGCCTTTTCTGGACTTATCTAGAGTTGTATAGAATTCTCCAGACTTGTCTTGAACATTGTATATAGTTCTAGAATTGTGTAGATAGTTCTTTGGAGGATTCTAGACACTTATTCTAGGCCACACATTTGTACACATCTAGAATGTTCTTGTGAGGGCCAAAGGCCTATAAATAGGAGGTGGGAGTTCATTTGCTCCTCACCAAGCAACCTAAGTTATGATTTCCTCTCAAGTAATACAAGTGTTCATACATTCCCAAACTCTCTTGCTCATTTGCCTAATCTCTTCCTACACACTCAAGTACTAAGCTAGAACACTTGAGGTAGGCTGACTTAGCACTTCAAGGGGGCTTGAAAGTGTCTAAGGCTCCACGTGAGCTTGGAAAGGTCCAAGTCCGTGACACCTGGCAAATAAGTATAATTTAGTACCATAAATAGATTTAGTACCATAAATGGCGTTTCACAAAAAATTTGAAAAACCAACTTTAATTTTTAGAAAAATTACCATTAATAACTATAATTTAGTACTATAAATAGATTTTACAAAACATTGGGGGGGGGGGGGAGGCCCTAAAAAAATTATTGATATATATTAGTAATAGTGCTAAAATTTTGCCAAAAATTTTGGAGGCCATGGCCACCCCTGGTCCCCCTCCCTCCGCCACTGCACATAGTCATCCCCCTCCCTTCGCCAATGCATGTAGTCATCTGAGTCATTTCTTGAAGAAACTACAGATCTTTCGAAGAAAATGAAAGCATTAAAAACTACAACTATAATAAAGTTGAACAATTTCTTGGTTGCTACAATTTAATTTTTATACAGAAAAAATGACTATTAATATATATAATTTAGTACTAGTACTAAAATTTTGTCAAACTACTCTGATTTTACAAAGAAAATGAAAGCATTAAAAACTAGTACTACTATAATAAAGTTGAACAATTTCTTGATTGCTACAATCAGCAAATCTTATTTTTAAAATAAAATGTACGCCTCAGGAACTATATAAGTCCAGAGACATGGAAGTTAGCTTACACAAACTGAGTCTCGTCATATTCATCGAAAAAAAAAAAAACGGAGTCTCAGCATGGATCCTCTTATCCCCTTCCTCGTAACTTCTGTCACCGGCCTCGTTGTCCTGCTAGTATTTGTGTACAAAAAGAAACAATCTACTAGAAGGAAGAGCCATGGTGTGCCTCAAGCTGGTGGTGCTTTGCCTATCATAGGTCACTTGCATCTCCTGGCTGGTGGTCAGTTGTTACACAAATTGTTCGGAGCTCTGGCCGACAAGTACGGACCGATCTTCACTCTAAAGCTCGGTTCACATGAAAGTCTGGTCATCAGCAGCTGGGAGATGGCCAGAGAGTGTTTCACTGTCCATGACAAGGTTTTCTCCACCCGGCCAAGCATAACTGCTTTGAAGCTATTGGGGTATGACTTCGCTAAGTTTGGCTTCGCGCCTTACTGGCGTGAGATGCGCAAGATAGCCACGGTTGAGTTTCTGTCTAACCGACGGATTGAGATGATCAAGCATATAAGAGGTTCGGAGGTGGATACTTCGATAAGAGAACTGAGTCTCATTGTACTATATAAATAGCATTATATAAATTTTTAGAATAGCATTATATAAATTTTAGTACTTTTATGGATTATATGCCTCCAACTTGCACAATCTGTCATGCTCTCCTATTAGAGGAAGACATGTTATACACAAATTAGTGACTAGTGAGAGAAATGGAAATTTTGTTCTGTTGTTTGGGGCTGTATATCATTGTTGTTTGGGGCTGTATATCATTGCTTTATTCAATTATTTCAGATTCTATCAAATTATATTTCAGTAAAATTACCCTTCCTAAAGTTGCTGGTTCCAATGTTTGGATTTCCAGAGATACAGATTAAAAACATTGCTCATTAAACCAACCCTCATTGTGGTTTTGTTTGCTATGGTCCCGAATTTTTTATGTATAATATTTAAACGTTAATTTCATTCCTTTTCCTGAATTTCTGAGCCACCAAATCCAAATGGGAGTGCCTCTTTTATCGGAAGAGAAACAGGGCCATATTTTTCTATCCTACTTTCTTATTAAATTAAAATTGGGTTAGTGGGATGGTGAAAATTAGAATGGAAATTATAGGTAGAAAATTTTCCTAGTTGCAGTTTGAATAGTTTATCTGCTCTTTGAATTTGTAACTAGTAAAGTTAAATATCTCTTTTTTGCAGTGTGTACCACCAGATTTTGTCAAGCATTTTAATGGAACAATACCAACTAAGGCCATCCTTAAAGATCTCTGCGGGAAATTTTGGCATGTGTGATAAGCGCCGAATATTGCATATTCAAGCGCCCTTAGCTGCATTAGTTAAGTCCATTATTCGATTATTCTATATAGATTATCTTCATTTGCATGTTTTTATATATTTTCAGGTTCATTGGCCAAAAAGGAGCAAAAATGATGTTTTGTTCAATCTTTGAATAACAATGTGCTCAAAGCTAAAGTTCTGGCAGCAGTGGAGTCTGACTTTGCTCACCATTTTTAACCTATCAAACTCGAGAATTGGACTTCCATTAAAACATGGCGTATTTAGAGCTTTGAATTAGCTTTCCAAATCTTCAAATGGTTCGTCATTTGGAGTTCGGAGTAGAAAGTTATGGCTGTTTTACCAAAGTAATGCAAAGCAGGTCAAGAGAAAGGAGCATACTGGTCCAACTTCGAGCGCTCGAAGTGCTTATTTAGAGCGCTCGAACTTTGAGCAGAATGCTCTCTGGGATCCATTACTTCAGCCAACTTGCACCTTGATTCCCTCATTTATGATTTCCATCTTTATGGGTTGGTTGGAGATGTCTTTTGGTGGGAGTTGAGCCTTGTTTGGTGGGAGAAGATGTCTATAAAGGAGGAGAACCACACATAACAATAAAATATATCTCATCTTTGTAAGATTTTTGGAGAGAGAAAGAGGAGGAGAAGATAGAGTTCTTGAAGCTACACCAAAGGAGCTCAAAAATGGGGATGGAGACCAAGCTTCTTCCTTCCTTTAAAGCTTCCATGGGTAACTAAACCTCCATCTAGGGAGGTGATGAGGCCCCTCCCTTGTAAGCATGTTCTAATTTAGGCTATATTTTGGGGATTACAATGTATACTCTATGGTCTTTTCATAACCAAGAGCACTTCATTTGTTATAATGAATGTTGATATATGTATGGATGATTTCTTTAAGTTGATTATCTTGTTTTAAATGATGTCTTATATTAATCATATTACTTGAGTTTTCATGGTGAGAATGGAGACAAGGTTATGAAATGGTTTAATGGCATGTTAATAAGTACTTTGATAGATCATTGCTTAGGTGAAACCTTTGATGGTTTATGCTTATTTCTTACCTTCATGTGCTTCATCATTTTATCTAGGGCTTGATAATCTTTCATTCAAGTAAATGTGGTTAAGCTACACCTTAGTTAGGTAGTCTAAACATGTTAACCTTTGATGGATCATGCTTGCTTGAGATTTAGTGAACTTCTTGAGGATATTATAGCAACCAAGTGTTGCTATGTATCATGACCATAATATATATTGTTTTCCCTCCCATTTAGCTCTAATCTAGCATGTGTATAGGGATGGAGGCGGATTCACTTCCCTAGTCTTCTTTACTTGTATTTCATCTCCTTTAAATTCTTGCAAGCTTTTATTTTATGCACCTTAATTTCATAGCTTAAGTGACAACCAACAAATCCTCTATGAACACCCCATATCATTCTAAAAAGACTCTAGACACTTAGGTTGCCATAGATTAGCGCAGTCCCAGTGGTTCGACTTACCCGACCAATAGCCCTATTTTACAATTATTCATGCTATTGCGAAGGTTGATTTATAATTGTAATCGACTCAACTGATCAATGTGGAGATGGAAGATGTTGAAAATGATGTCTTTATTAAGAATGGCTGGCAAAGCTTTGTGAATCATTATTCTATAGAGCTCGGAGACTTCTTAGTTTTTAGATACAATGGAAATTCTATTTTTGATGTTAGAATATTTGGTAAGAGTGGATGTATGAAGGTGTTTACACCCTTATTTTCCACTTTCCAGTTGAAGATTACCCAGGTTGACTTCAATGGAAAGGTACTGCGGCGTTCCAGTGGAAAATCTTACGACACATGGCAGCCAAAGAAGCAAGCGGTTACAAGTGGTTACATGCAAAGTCATGGGACACATGGCAGCCTAGAAAGTGTTGGTTACAAGTGGTTTCATGCAAAGTCATGTGAAACATTCTTGGAAATGGGCGGTTACATACTACATGGGACACATGGCAGCCTAAGAAGCTAGTCGATTCCAATGGAAAGTTACTACGACATTCCAGTGGAAAGTCTTAGGACACATGGCAGCCAAAGAAGCAAGCGGTTACAAGTGGTTACATGCAAAGTCATGGGACACATGGCAACCTAGAAAGTGAGTGGTTACAAGTGGTTACATGCAAAGTCATGGGACACATTCTAGGAAATGGGCGTTTACAAGCGGTTACATGCAACATGGGACACATGGCAAACTAGGAAGCTGGTCGATTCCAATGGAAAGTTACTACGACATTCCAGTTGAAAGTCTTAGGACACATGGCAGCCAAAGAAGCAAGCGGTTACATGCAAAGTAGGACACATGGTAGCTAAGGAAGCAAACGGTTATAAGAGGTTACATGCAAAGTGGGACACATGGCAGCTTAGGAAGCAAGTGGTTGCATGCAAGCTACCATTACTAAATTTTATAAATAGGGCATATCTTGTAACTTAGAAAGTCTACTCAACGCCAATCAAACTATGCATTTCAATACTATCCTTACTTTTTA